GGGTTTATTACGAATCAACTTAACGGCCTGCTCCCAGTTGGCTTGTTAGCTCAATTGGCAGAGCGCTGCACTAATATCGCTGAGGTCAGTGGTTCGAATCCCGTACAGGCCTGATTTTTTTCAGGTCTGATTTTCGCTATTGCATAAATAGCGCTCTCTACTGCGAGGATCATGCATCATACGTATTATTATTATTATTACTAAGACCATAAGTGATCAGAAATGCCTTCTGCAAAACTCGAATATTACCCTGTTTGTAGCCGTCATTTTGTCGATGACAAATTCAGTGTGCTCGAAATAATTGTTTAACATCTTTCTGTACTCAACAACAGAGCTTTAAGTTTACCACGTTTCTTACTCTAGCGTTTACAAGATTATCCAAACATTTTCGACCTTGGCAGCATGTAGAACGCTTGTCACATAGGAATCTGGTATACAGCTTGGCTAACTAGCGAGTTCCCTGTGGCTCAGTCGGCAAAGTATCCTTGCGCCAAATTAGGACTGCTCACGGGGCGAATCCTCAAAGGGACTGACAATTCTTTCAACTTCCCTGGCTAACGACAACTGTTTAACAGATTTCTTTAAAGCACTGTTGCACTTTTGGACGGACTCAGTGTTTCAGTAATTTTAAAACCTTACCTGTATTGAAAGCATTAAGTAACTGCTCAGTGTAGAATTTGCTGCTCCCAACCCGTCGCAACAACGCTGTTTTCTTGGGAGCCCTTTTTTGCCGCTGACCAATGTTCAACATATCATCCAACGAACGACTGCGAATCATCCGCCTCGACAGAGATAACGACTTCATAGATGACATCAGAGCATCCGGGTCCTCCTCGTATAGGTCAGAAGACTTGCTTGGCCAGGTCCCAGATGCGTCAAGTCCGCGATCAATTGAGCTTTCACTGCTACCGTTAAACACCCCGAAATGATCTTTTGAACTTTTTTCTTGTAAAGCTCGGTGAAGAGTAGATGTGTGGAAGGAAAGTGTGGAGGAGTAGTCTTCGGAGTCCAATTTGGCAAGTTGACCAATCAACCTACAATATTTTTGCTGGAGCGCCTGAAAGGAACACAACAAAATGAAGAAGGTTATTCACTCAAAATTTGGAGCCACCGTAAAATCCCAGGTTTAACCCTCTCCAGCCACCTTACTGGGAAAAACGCACAAAGTTTTCAATGTCGTCTTTTGGCGACCTCAAATCGTGAAACAGTCGCTTAAAACAAATTTTTGGCCCCAAAAAAAGGCACTTGCGATGATACATGACCCACTGACCCGTTGACCACACCGCTCGAATTAGGCTGAGCGTGATTCACACGCTCTCTTTAAGCTTAATCCTTTGAAGGCCAAAAAATCTCGTTTCAAAAACGTCAAAAATTGCTACATAGCTCCAGTACGACCAGTGGGGTCACAGCTTGGATAGCTGCAGTTTATTGGCCTCTCTGTATCATGGAAAATACCTTGGAAAGTGGACGGCTGCCCTGTTTCAATAACCTTGTCAAGTGGTACTAAGCTGGTAGTTTGTATAGTATTAAATATATTAATCAGTAGTTTCACTAGCAACCTTTGTGGCTTCCTTTGGTGTTGATCTATTCCCATGGAAATGGGTTCCCACTCTCACTGATGAGCAATCTCGTGATCAGTGGGTAAAAAAGGAACAAAGCGTATGCAAGGGTGGGGATGAGTGTGTAAATGAACATAAAAGTTAGGTGTTAAAATTGCACCTTGGATCGCTGCAATTTATTGGCCTCTCTGTATCATGGAAAATACCTGGGAAAGTGGACGGCTACCCTGTTTCAATAACCTTGTAGAGTGGCACTGAGCTGGTAGTCTCTTACGTTATTTTGTTATCAGCTCGGGCTTTTTACTTTGTCAACCGTCTAAGACAGTGACACGAGCTTCCTAGACCGATCACACAGCGAGTTAAAGCTAAAGCAATCTCATCCTAAATTGCTTTCGACAATCTACATAAAGGGAACCTCCACTCTTTTAACAAATAGCGCTCAAATTGTTCCAAATGTACTTCTCCATAGATCTGACATAGGAAAATTGGAACATCTTGAAGGGTATTTGTTAAAGAATAGAGGTCCTTTAAAATTGCCCTAAGTCAGAGATGTCATTCACGAAAACATCTTTGAAAGATTTCAATCATTAGTACGCTCAAATCTTGTGTTACCTTGTATCTTTCTTCCAGTTTCAGCGCCTCTAGCTCGGCTGCTTTAGAAGCATCATGAACATGATCATAACGATAGCGATTGACATAGAGTGACGACCATATTTTGAGGTAAGGAATTCTGTACTGGGGATGAAGCACTCTGGAAAACAACCACGCACCTGTGTCAGTTAGAACGGCTTTAAAGTTATGACACGAAGTCTGTTTAGATCACGGGGAGGACACAGCCATGAGTTTAGACAGGCACTACTACCACTCACTATCAGAATTTGAAATATGGCTTGTAAAAATCATGTCGGACTCGTAAAGTTGCCAGTATTTTCGAGAGACATGCCCTTAAAGTCACAAGCGGGTTGCGTTTGTAGTTGGCCTAATTCCTTGCTCTGAAGCCTTATTGTCTAAATTCTCCAGGAATTCTCCCTCAATAAAAAAAAAAATATATCCCACATTTAAATTGATCGGGTAACAGAGGACAAAGAGCCAACCTGCCTTTACAGGTAGTCAAACAATGCCGTTTAAAGCCAGGTTAACACAGCGCCCTCTAAGACATCCTCAGAACACTATAATACATAAGTAAGATCTAAAAGTAGTATTCACCTTTTACTAATCAAAATCAAGCGCATTTTCATGGGTGTAAAAAAATAACTCAGAGTGTTTTCTGAGCAACAACATCCCAAAGTCAGGTTGAGAGCGGGTTTGATGCAAACGAGAATTTTTCACCTTGATTCTTAGCGAGCTGTTTGAAAAGACGCCAGCGATAGTTGAGGAACGAAAAGTTTAACTTGGCTTAGATTTGTCTCGTGAATTCGTGTGGCGACACATGTTAAGGCAAACGATTTGTGAGGTGTAAACTTAGTGAAGAGAAAACCTGCCAGGGAAAAATATCGAGATAATAGCTGTCTTCAAAGCGATAAAACAAACGAAAACTTTTCGCTAACCCAAGATTACTTCACGGTGTTATGTACAACCCGACATCCTTAGAGACAACGGAAAATAACACAATATTATAATTTGCTGCAAAAGTATTATTCCGGAAGCTTTTTATAAGTAAGTAAAAACGATTGTCATTCTTACCGGGGTCCCTGGTCTTCCCTATAACGCAAATTGTTGAACTTGTCTGGGTATGCCATGATAGTCACGTTTAACCAGGTCCAAAGAGAAATTGTCTTATCCTCATATTCTTCCTGTTAACAAAACGCCGAACATGAAGTGTCGTTTTGTTAATTCAAGTTTTAACAAAACAATTACAAGCTTCTTTCATTTATATAATCATTTCATGGAACAAATAGGTATGTATATATGCACGATCCTTCGCAGTAAAGCACTATTTGAGCAATAGTGAAAATCAGACCTGAAAAAAATTTCAGGCCTGTACGGGATTCGAACCACTGACCTCTGCGATACTAGTGCAGCGGTCTACCAATTGAGCTAACAAGCCAACTGGGAGCAGGCCATCAAATTAATTCGACATAAACCCGTAGATGATAAATCAAACAACAACAAACATATGAAACATATGTATGAACCGCAGTTCATACATATGTTTCATATGTTTGTTGTTGTTAAATAGGTATGTGATAGAGCGCTTTTCGATTGACTGTCGTAAAATCAAGACCAAAGCAATCACAACAGCAAAAATATCACTTGGAGCCAATAAGAACTCGAAGTAATACGGACCAAACTGCCTAAAGCGCGGAAAACGCGGCCGACCAAGCTATAATCAGTTTCATTTCCGATATGATTGGTTAAGAAAGTGGCGCGAATTTTTCGGGACCAATCACAAAACGAAATAAAGCAAAATCAAAGCAACTCCGGAGTACTTTCGAAACTCGATTGAAAATTGCTCTTAAACCGCTACCGACGTTTCGAGGAGTCTGTTCCCAGAGAGGTATGCTCTAGACACCACATCATTTTTATCTCCGTTATTGAGAAGTATATACAGAATTTAACATAATGACGTTTGTTCTGAGAACCTGAAGAGTAGCCTTACCTTTCAAACATCGTCTTCAAATATGTTGAAAATATGACTACGGTTTAACGCTTTACACTCTGAGTTCTCTATAATGTTCTCGATACATTTCCTACTGTACTAAAACGAGAATTTGTTTCCTAATCAATCGCAATCATTTCCTTTTTTCTTGATGCAGGGGTGATATTGTTAGGAGAAATTACATGTTTATCATTCCTCGGGGTTAAAGGGTTAAAAACTTTTCCAAAAGACAGGTTACTATTTGGAATCTCGGATAAAAAAAGTACATGGCGACTGTATCGTACTCTTCCTACACGTACGCGCCGTAGGAAAAAATACACACTTCCGTTAAAATTCAACATCAACTAACAAACAGATGAGGCTTGGAGTTACCTACCTCGTCTCTTTCGCTTTCTGTATTGGTAATAAACGTTCCAAATCGCGTAGAATATACATGTTCTGCAATTACCTAAAACAGAAATAAGTGCAGTGAAGACAGGGGATAACTTATCAGGCGACCGTACCGTTCAGCGTAGGTTAAAAGCAGAAATGTCAACAAAGCCCTTGCTGTGGAAGACACATGGCCTATGTTTATCAGTTAGTCAGAAAGAAATGTGAAAGAAAACACCCATGACCCTCTTGGTCACTCAAGGTAGTTTAAGCGTTAAAAGAACAAGTGCCAATTCCCAGTTTGAATCGTTTAGGATAAGAGCGCAAGAAGATCGCGATAATTGTAGGAGAAAAAGTCATTCTACAATGGGAGATGATTAACATTATTCACAAACAGTGCCTTGCATCTTACCTCAAGTAAGAGGCTGTTAAACTGGAACGAGAATGGAAACTGTCGAAGGACCTGCAAAGGCAAACAACCATCGTTCAATGAGTAAAACCGAGCGTGATAATAAAAGGCGCGATAGTAGCAGCGGAGGGAAAAAGCGAGGGAGGTTTGGGTCGGGTCGCGACCCAAACAGCAAAAAAAAAAAAACCAAAAACCAAAAACCAAAAACACAGCGAAGAAATCGTTTGGCTGACCAATCAACTCAACTTTACCTGCCAGTTGACCGATCCATTTTCCCTTATTACTTTTCTGTCTTTGCTTTGTCTTGCGGTGGTAAGACGTGACTTAATTAAGTGCAAAAAAGAATATGCGACCATCGCACTCTTTACCTGCCAAACACAGTCTAACCACTGAAGGAACACAGGACTGTGATCATCATGAGCCTGCGGGAGCATGGTACGGCAATAAAATTTGTGACCAAATGATAACCACTCCTTTTGAATCAAGACCTGGATGAAAGGAGAAACAAATCAGATGCGACAGTTAAACCACCAAAATATAAATAGGTTAGAGGAGACTTGATTTGACAAAATTGGATGGAATTTAATGGTCTACTGGTTAACTTGCTAGAAAAAGACCGGGTTTAAGAACCAGCTTTCGTCATTACGTCGTGTTCTCTAAAAGAACTTTACTCTCACAGTTCCTCTTCTCTTGGTCAAACACTTCGTCAAAAGTATTGCAGGTGAGCTTCGTTAAAGTGACCACAGATGAGGGTAGCTCATCCTTAGCACTAAGAAGGTCACCACGGCAACCGTGGTAAAGCTCACATCTAGGCACCTCAGTGTGAATACGACCCCGATGTGTAGACCGAAAGCTTACCCAAAACTTGGAGCGAAGAGAATGAAGGTAAGAGAGCGAGCAAAGTAGCAAGGAAAATTGAGCAAAGAATTGCATTAGAGCTAGATTCTGGTGATAAGGCAAGGATCGAAGAAGGGGTACATTTCTCTAAAACTGTGCAACATCTTGTCATGATGAGCTTGGAAAATCGTCATATAAAAAGACCAGAGCTGTTAAGCTGTCACATTAAGCTGATTTACATAGACTTCTTTTGTAATTGTGAGCACGATTTTTTTTCCTCTTACGAGCCTCTTCGCCTCGGCGGTGAGTGGAAAATCCATTCATTTCAACACGTTTGAAACGTGTTTTCGAGGCAAGAAAGACTTATTCACATGAATATAAATGAAGAACAATTGGACCTGCTTTTTATGAAAGAGGTCTATAGAAGCCAAAGATGACGGTCGAGTAACTTAGTAGACCAAAGGCATGGACGGACAAACCTGAAAGCCAGCCACTGTTCTGTAAAAAGGATCCAGCAGCAATTGAGCAAGACTCGCGACCTAATACATAATCACAATAAATTCTCTAAGCCAGTGAAAATAGCTCATGTTATTATTCGCTATTACACCATTTTACTATATTAGGGCAACGGAACGCTCTACGGTATTACACTCTAGAACAGGGTAAGAACAAATGCAGACGGAAAGCAGGCAAAACTGCAGGGCTGCACTAAACGATCCAAACTTTGGTTTCATTCCATTTTTCAAGCATTACCTTCAGTCACGAACTTACAGTAAGAGACGAAAACAGGCCACTGGCAACAAAATAAAACAAAAAAACTTTGTTTCCTAATCTTGCTGGCAAAAATTGATGCAGAGTGGTCACTAAGGGGCACTAATATATCCACTATGGCGGTTCTGGAGAAACCGATCCTCTAAATGATCGAAAGATTTTCACAAGAGACCGGATTTGTCTTGGGTGGCTAAGCCTGAAATGGTGTCACTATTCAGTCGTTGGATGCGCGTAATTTAATGAAAAACTGCTTCTGATGAAGATGGAGCTGAATGCAACACAGGATAGACTGACGGTGGATCAAAGTCGATTGATGAAAAATGAATGGGAAAAAAATCCTAACGGCGTCAGTCATGTACATCCAGATAATTGATGGTCAACACAAAGGGAGGCTAACATTGACAAATCGTACACGCTTGCCTTTATATGTAACTCTAATTTGGATCGTCAACGCCCCAAAGGAGTTGCATTACTGATGGGAACTTTTGCCTGCATTTGGCGAAATCGTCATCAATAATCCATGAAAATCTTCTCCATCCTCCACAATCCTCACCATTCTTAATCTATTTTAACGTCTTTACTGTCTATCCATCAAACCGCACTATTTATAAACTTAGTCTAGCTTTCAATGGCAGAAACTGGCTTAAAAACAAAAGTAGTGCCTGTCATTGCCAGCACACCTGAGCTGTTCTGTCCATTCCATCTTCATAACTGATCATAACACATGACTTGTCACACTCCATGGCAACTGATACTTGGGCGGCTGTCTGGAGTAGCTCGCTGACTTGATTCAACCAATCACAATCCTCCAACGCCGAAAGCCATTTATTGTCATCACTGGTGAAATTAAGTAATGCGTTAGAGTGACGTAAAATGCAGTCACGTATGTGATAGAGCAATATTCATTAAAGGGTCAAAAATGAAGGGGCAATGGATTGGTTTTACTTCACTTCTCGTTGTGATTAGTCAAGAAATCTTGTGCCAGTCTCTACGCAAAAACAGAACTGACCCATTATGACCCAGTCTCTACGCAAAAACAGAACTGACCAATTATGACTTGACCGTTCAGGCTTTCCCGCGGTTAAGGCATTTCAAATGTACTGCTTTGAGCTCTTACTAGCTACTCTATGATATTTTGAATTCTTTTAATTTCCTGTTATGACAACTTAGCTTTCAGTTTAACGACGGAGAATAAAAACAAGTTCTATCACAACCGGAAATATAACAAAATAATTTGGTAGATAGATTCTGAGGCTAACGCCGGAATTGAGCGTCCAACCTACGTCAGAACGAATGGGAAAAACAATAAGAAGGAAAAACAGCAACCACAGAAAAACTGACAATGAACAAACACTAAAAAACTTCACCTTCTGTTCGAGAGAACTGCTTGCAGTCTGTACGCACTCTGCTTCACGGCTTTGACATCTGGTAATCCGTCAGCATACATAAACTTGATGTTAGGATAATAGAAAGCTGAGACAAGAAAAATACACAAAATTATTCCTCGATATCTTTGTAAATCCCTCGGTAACCCTCTGATGGGCAGAGGTTCCCGCTTACTTAAAGTTACCAGTAAGGCTTGTTTAGGCGTAGTAAGATATTTACGTATTCGCAGCGAAAACCCAACACCCACAGACATTCATGATGATCAATGTTTTTTCAGCCAACACAGCACCCAAGGTGTGTACTTTGATGAAGGTCGCATGCCAATTACACCGCCCTATCCTGGTAAGCGCAATGACTTTATAAAGTTTCAAGGAGGCACTACCTCGGATCTGGATATTTGTAAAGAATATCACGACTTGTAATAACATTTGACGATAAAAACTGGCGACAAAACGTTGCTTGATAACATTGTAAAATTTAAAAACGATAAAAAGCTAGAGAAAGCTAAAATCGACGACGTTTCGATGTTAACATAACGTCATTATCAAGTCAATAATGTATAAAAATAAGTTCTATAAATACTAAAAACGAACAATAAGAGAAAATAATTTGCGGGTGAAACAAAAAGTTTAGCACGTATGGAGTCCGTTTGCACGTTCAAATTAGGTTTGAATTTCTTAATATAAAGCATTTCAAACACTAAACAATCAAATTTGTGTGTCAAATCAACTTCTTTTTGTAAAATTACCTGACTGTCAAATTTGAGTGCTGTGAAAATGTCAAATCACGCCAGACAGAAACTGACCCACAAAAGTTATCATACGAATGTCACCTCTTTTTTAAAAAACAGAGCACACCCCCTCCTCCTTGCTGCATAGAATCTAAATATAACTAGACAATGTACAGAGGTCCTTTAAGATCTCCAGTTATAAGTGTAACATCGGGGGTGGGATGACTTACTCTCGCCTTCCTGTGGAGTAAGCTGTCCTGTCATTTGCGTGACTTGTTGTGAGGAGTTCAATAAACCTCCTCCTGACTGTCTTATTCTAAAGCAGAACACAACATCGATCACCAACAAATTCAAATTTCGATTAGGGGCTCCTCCATTTTGAAAAACAATTAAGTTACCTGGGTCGCACGCCATCAAATTGCGGAAACCACATGTGCGGGAGAAGACAATAATGATTATCATTATTTATTTTAAATTCTGTTTTTAGCTCTTCACAGTTTTAAATTAGAGCAAAAAAAGTCATTTGATCACTTTTCATCTGCTAGACGTAAATGCAAAAAAGGTTACGTACTGTTCAGAAAAAACAACCAGTTTGTCTGTAGCAGCTTCACTCAGTGCACTGACTGTTACAAGATACTTTTCATCTGCTTGGCAACGCGAGTCTTTCAGGCCTCTGCAAGAAACGATTTGAACAAAATTTGGGACGTGCTACAGATACTTATATTCCGCAACGTTTACTTCAAAATGCTAAAACTGGGGCTTTGCCGTAAAATCCCTTCGAACGCAGTCACCAAACCGTCTTTCCTTTAGATCCCTGGGGATGCACTATTTCCTCTGAACGAAATAATTTAAAGACACATCGACAGTGCTTTACGCTAATCATATTTCCAACACTTTACAGTACCCTGAAGATCTAAGGATTCCATTCACAGAGAGGCAACATCTCAAGGTCAAACATCTCCATGCCCAGACCCATAACTCTCAAACTCCCAAGATCTGATTGGTAACTCTCCCTTCCAGTTCGTACACATTTCTTGTAAATCATTTATGTATGAGCTACAATTTTGTTGGACAAAATGCGTTGATGTTGTAAGAAGTTGAATGTTTACCAATGACGCATATCAAACGAGCATAATTATATCAATCAAATACCATTGTTCCTACCTTCTGAAAATTGCTGCAGGTGATCTTAACATGACTGCATCACTACTGATATGTCTCCAACAAACTACAGGGAAGCATCCTTCTCCTCTACAGGAAGAAATGAAAACTCTGAGATAACGGAATAATTACTTCTGATCCTAAAAATTTCAGGATTCAAACTATTTTGCCTTAGAGAGCAGTCGCATGAAAAGTCGGTCAGATTAAATAGACCATCAAATACCAACCTGTGAACATTTGCTATTTCTGTTAACTCCTTCTTTGTCACTTGAATCGGCACGACCACTTTTGCTGGATACTGTAAAGGCCGTGTCCCTTCTGAAACAAAAATAAGAGACTTTAAAACTAAAACAAAGACCAATTGAAAGTAAACAAAAGTTAAGTCATATGAATCACATTTAGCCTTATTTAGTAGAAACTGGTAGATAGACGAGGTATTTCTTTGCATTTACATGAAAAGCTCTCAAAGAAACTCTCAAAGTGTACTCACTGTGAAGTTTCCAGTTTCCAGCATGAAATAACTTGAGTCTATCACACTCTGCTGCAAAAAATTAAAATACATAACTTGAGAATCATTACTTTAAAAAAATACGAAATTGATTAACTAATGAATTAATGGTGCGTGGGAAATCTCCGTTCTGTATGTTTCCAGAACTTTTTACAACTTTTTGGCAATGACTCTTATCATGGAAACCGGTCGTTTCGCCAACGTATGAGGTCGACTCGCCAACGTGTAATGTTAGTTCGCCAACGCCCGTGAATACATCACAAGTAAAATTTTAGTCATCTGGTCATTTGTAATTAGAATTATTTTGGACGTTGGTGAACCGACATAATTTATAAGCGTTGGCGAACTGAAATCAGACGTTGGCAAATCGACCTCATACTTGGCGAACTGACACATTGGCGAAACAACTGGCATTCCTTATCATGAGTCTCATGTTAATGTCACTTCTACCATTGCCTGCAACGTCTCCTTTGAAAATCTAATAGTTAAAAGTCCCATATTCTTTACACCTTTTTTATTCCATAGCAGTTGTTCTTATACAGCCTGCCATACAATTCTTATGGCGTTAGATTAGGAAGATTTGGTACTTATACAGCCTGCCATACAATTCTTATGGCGTTAGATTAGGAAGATTTGGTACTTATACAGCCTGCCATACAATTCTTATGGCGTTAGATTAGGAAGATTTGGTACTTATACAGCCTGCCATAGAATTCTTATGGTGTTAGATTAGGAAGATTTGGTACTTATACAGCCTGCCATACAGTTCTTATGGTGTTAGATTAGGAAGATTTGGTACTTATACAGCCTGCCATACAATTCTTATGGTGTTAGATTAGGAAGATTTGGTACTTAATCAACTAATGTAATCCCCCAATTGATATTTTCCTTTATTCTCATCACTTGTCTGCTGGATATTGTGAGGAGAAATTCTGTCTTAGTCAGTCATGGTAGTCAAAAGGTTAAAAGGTAAAAGATAAAATCAAACCTATGAATATTTGTGGGGTCAGGGCTCAACACTAAACGGTAGCCAACCAGCCACAGACTAATAGAAAATTCACTTTTGGCTGGTAGTTTTCGAATTCCACCAGTCAGTTTGGCTAGTAAACAAACTGAAATTTTTGTAACATCTAGGTTGTCACTAGCCACTTGGCTAGTAAGTTGAAAAGTTAGTGTCAAGCTCAGTGGGGTGATCATTTTAAGAAAAGAAACGGATATGAAACAGTACTATATTTCAGGTCTGATTTTCGCTATTGCTTAAATAGCGCTATCTACTGCGAGGATCGTGCATCATACATATCTAATACCGCAGTTCAAAATATATGAACTTCATATATTTCATTGTAACCAAACTATACTTACATTCAAACTTGTAGAAGTTTGGAGCATCTTTACTGTCTAAAATAGTACATGATGTAGGCAGGATGATGGAGCTTTTATAAGTAAAGGCAAATAACTTACGAAAATCCTGCAAGAGATGGTCAGGAGAAACTACAGTTAAATAATACCATACTCTAACAGAAGACACTTTTAATTTTAATTTTAATTTTTAATTTTTAGTCCACTTTCAGGTGATTCCTCAGTACTGCACACTCATCCTGAACTGTGCATAAAAATCATGTGATCATGTGAATACATTCCTCCTAAGTAAGCACAGTAACCTACCCTTTTCATTGTAGTTTTCAGAACAGACATTGGTAGGGAACATTTTTAATTAGGAAAGTTCAAAACAACCTTTGATACCTTTTTTCTGAGAAATCACCTCACATTCACTAACTGGGAACAACCACCCTACCACTTGTTCACTTTCACAGAAGAGCAACTGAAGCAAAATCCACATCTGTTTAAAAGCTGTCACAATAATGACAAGTAAAATTTCTTTGAGGTGCTTATTAAAAGTTAATAGTTTGAATTGTTTCAACTCTTTTGTCACTGATTGCACTCTGATTGTACTTGCTTTAAGTACATGTACAGTTGATGATGACAATTCAGCTTCAAGGATGAGACACTAATTTCATTATGATAATATAACTGAATAAGTTAAGAACAGACCAAAAGTTAGAAGAAGTTGTACTATTTCTTGGAAAGAACAAATAATTTAAAGCTACAATCCCCTCTTGTATCTACTTTTGCACCAGTACTACTCAAACACAAAACTCCTTGGTGGTCATGCAATTAAGACAATCAAAGTCATGTACCGGTGATAAGGACACTCATTCGAACAAGTGTACTTCTTTAGAAAGCCAGGGTATGTATTGGAAGGAAGGTCCTTTAAATCATTTGGTATCCAAACGACAACTTACTACTTTTGAAGTTTGATTTATGATTTTCATAACAGACTCTGCATCAAGTAAGCTCAGAGGACCTGGACAGAACTGAAAAACATATGTATAACACTATAAGTTGAAAATGAAATAGATCTATATGTTTATTTAATCAAATTCCACACAGAACTTGAACTGAAGTCAATTGATAACAAAAGCTAATTAAAGGTGAGTATTGTGGTACATGTATGTACTAGGTGTACATATGCATGTGTGTATGTGAACACTATGTATTTGCAATATTTTGACAGGCTAGCCCACTTCAGCTAAAAGCTGGTTTAAATGG